CTCTCTCTCCTTTCCTTATTAGAATTGGGCAAATGTAATGAATTGTCTTTTATACATTTAGAAGTAACAGCTTTTGGGGGCTGATGAGATGGCTCAGCACGTAAAGGCATTTGCCACCATGCCCAAGGCTCTGTTTGATCCCCAGAACCCACAGGTGGAAGGAAAGAACCAACTCTTTCAAATTGTCCTCTGAACTCTACACATACTGCATGGCATGTTTGCTCTACCCAGTAAATAAGTGATATTCTAAAAAAATTTTTAAAGTAATACTTTTTGTGAAGCTACAGACTGCCTCTAAATATTATTCACTAAGATTCCAGTGTTTTTTGTTTTTGTTTTTGTTTTTGTTTTTTCCTGAGACAGGGTTTCTCTGTGTAACAGCTCTGGCTGTCCTGGAATTCATTCTGTAGACCAGGCTGGCCTCTGCCTCCTGAGTGCTGGGATTAAAGGCATGTGCCATCACTGCCCAGCTTCTAGTGCTTTTTTAAAGGCTCCAACATGTTAGCTTGAGTTAGTAAATTATAACTTTATGTATTTTAATTGTATAGACCAATCTCTTAAAAAAACTGTTCAGAAAGAGACCTTTCTGAAGAAAGATTTCAAAATCGTCTTCTAGTCCTCCATGAGTTTCTTTGTCATCAGTCACGATCTTTTTTAACCCTTCAGTCTTATTCTAAAACAAAATGGGTAATTGGCATTTAAATGCCTTTGTATATATCTAATAAGCAGACAACAACCTGATGAGGAGTACAAGCTGCCAGCTCCTCATTAGCTTGACTGGCAGGCTTGTTTTACAAGGCATGCTTTGACATTTAGAGTCTCCAGGTTAAAACCTTGTTTTCACTCTTTGCTCTGTCCTCTCTGCCCTCCTTCCCTCCACCCTCCCTTTTCTTTCTTTCCTTGAGACAGGATATCATGTAGCCTAGGTTGGTCTCAAACTCATCGTGTAGCTCGGACATTGGCCTTGAACTCCTGTGTCCACTTCATGAGTGCTAATATTCCAGGAGTGTGCCATTGTACCCAAGTGCTTTTTTCTTTTTTGAGGTTTTTTTTTAGGTTATAAATGTTTCTGATGCTTTATTTATTCTCATTTTTTTTTCTTAGTTGATAGGAGCTATGCATTGACCCTGGAAAAATTTGAGAATATTGATACTCCCCAAAAGAAGAAAGCTCAGTAGCCCTTTCACCCCGAGATGGCTTCCAGTAGGATTTTGAAGCGCATCAGACCCACCCTAGGCAGCTTAGAGTTTATTATTATGCATCTTCAGCAGCATAGGCAAAACCTTCCTTCTTAGATTTGTGTTTCTGTCATTAGTACAGACTGGTGTTTTTATAGTCGTTGGTCAGTCATTAAAATTGTGAGTATATATTCATGTTAGGATGAGTTTCATAAAGGTAAATTTTCACTCACATGACTTTAACTGAATTCACAATTTTTATTGGTCATTCTTATTTCTTGTGAGAATTTTTGTTAGTGTGTGAAAGCCTTGATTGTATAAACAATGTTAACCTTTTGTGGTGGGTATTGTAAGTTCTCTGTGTCTGTGATCTGCTTGTTTTAAGAATTTGAGTTCAGCTGAGCTGTGGTGTGATGTGTTACCAGTGGTGCAGTGAAATAGGCCTTTCTGATTTTGAACATGCTTTTGTAGTGGGGCCATCCTTAATGTAAAAAGAATTGTAGGGAATCTTTTCTGATAGAACTTTGCAAAAATTAACACCATGTGTTTTTAAAGAGTTGTAATATAAACTGAGTGTGGTAGATTACATTTATAGTCCCTGCACTTAGGAGGCCAAGGTAGGAGGATTGTGAGTTCAAGGCCAGGCTGGTATCTACAGGAAGTTTAGGGCAAGTCTGGGCTACACAGTGAAACCCTGTAAAACAGAACTGTCATGTTTAAATTAAGAGTTTGAGAAGGGAGATTATTTTATCATTTAAAATTGAAGTAGCTGGTATAGTTTTCAAATTAGCAATTGCAAATCGAGAAAGTGTAAATGACGAAAAGAAGTCTTGCTCTACATGAGTTACTAATGATTCTGGTATTTATTATAATTCCAAACAGTTTTTAGGACAGTAAGTGGCTGAAATTCATGATATGTCTCCTTTTAAAAATTATTTCCCCTAAATCTCCTGCCTGTACAAATTTAAGTTTGGCAAAGTAAATCTTCTAGAGATGTAACTTTGAAAGAATTTTGTACTTTGAGAATTTAATCTTTTTTAGGTTAGAATATTCTGATTTTATATAACATAGTGTATAAACCCTAGAGGAGAGATTGCCATTGATGTTTTAAGCCCAGAGAGATTACGTAAATATAATGGAAACTAGAACTCCTAAGAATATATTTTATAGTTAATGATTTCATCATAGGTCTGTGGATTCAGTTTGACAACAGACTTTGAGAGACTCAGGCTGATGAGGACTGTCAGTGGAAAAATGGTTGCTAGAGAGCCTGGTGGTCATGATTCTCGTCATATTGTTGTCAGGAACAAGTGCCTCAGTGCCAAAAAGCAGCGCTAGCTACAGCTTTTATAGGTATAAGGAAGAAAAGAGGTTTTTAATAAAGTTTAAATTTATTCAGACAAAAAAATACATTTGATTTGATAGAATACCCCAAATTATGACCACATTTAAGAAAAGAAAAAAAGGTTAAAAGAAAAATTAGCCATTTAGTTAAGCTGCAGTAGTGATGGTGTAGGACAGGAAGGTGAGACTAGGTGTCCCATTTACAATCATAAATCCAGATGACATCTTTACATACAGTTACGCATATGGTCGGAGAGAAGATGCACTGTCAAGTTTGAAAAGGAGACAGTAGTCACTGCAAAGCTAGAAAGAAACATGTGCCAGTGTTAGACCATCTCAGAACCTACCCATGAAGGTGGGTCCCTCCAGTTCCTGGGTTAGACCATCTCAAAATCTACCCATGAAGGTGGGTCCCTCCAGTTCCTGGGGTGACTGCAGTGTTGCAGTGCATTGTATTTGGATTAAATAGTAAGTTGTTAATTGAAACGCGTAAGTCACTCAAGGCTTTCCCTTTGTTTTAGGACCTGTTTCTAGATAGAGTAAAAGTGCAATCAAGTTAAAATACCTTCCCCCACGGTCCTTTAACTTAGCCCCCCAGGAGACTGGGAACTCTCCAGTCCACTCTGATTTGAAAATGCTTGACCGACCATGTTTTGTGTCTGAGTGTTGTGGATGATGACAGTCTCCTCTGCTAGTTCTCATCTAGGTGGAAGTGGTCTTTCAGCCCCCTGCCCTCAGTGCTGAGCACACAGTGGGTATTTGTTGTCTTTCTTTTCTTAGTTATTTGAAATGTTCTGTAGAGGAATGCTCAAAAGAAAACCCAGGAAGTTTTGGTACTGAACTGTTTTTTTAAAAGTCCTTTGGGGATACTTCGTGTTACAAAATAAAAGATTTCTAATTTAATTATTTTGACAAAAATTTTCTCAATTGATGATCCCAAACATTCTATGATCTCTACAGCTGCAGCAACAAGAGGAGCTTGTTATTTTAAAGGGAGGTGAAGACACTGTAGAATCAGCAGACCGAAGAAAGGGGAGAAGGCAGAGGATGGAGTTGCAGACCCTACAGGAGGCTCTGAAAGTGGAAATTCAGGTTCACCAGGTGTGTTGGCTACCCATGTATACTGTGTTGCTAAGGAAACAGACCCAGCTCTGTGTTTTGGTCAAGTTATGCAATCATTCTAAGACTTAACCAATGGCCATGGCATTTGCCCGCAGTTACTGCGCCACAAACGCACTCCCACTGCTTTTGAGAACTTTAAGAAGAAATTCCTGACATCTTTTCCAGAAAAAAAAGGGACTGGAAATATTTTTTTTCATATCCTAAAGGTATTTGGAAAAAACAATGCTTTTTTGCAGTTTTTCTGACCCATTTGAAGGCCTTTTATACACGTGATACCTTCCTTGTGTGTTTTATTTTTTTTTTTATTTTTAAAATTTATTGTTAATCTTTTGAGACAGGGCCTCACTAGGTTGACTTGGTTGGCCTGGAACTCCCCATGTAAACTACACTGACCTTGAACTTGCGTCAGTCCACATGCCTTTGCTTCCCCAGTGCTGACTTTCCTTACTTCACCGTAATAAAGATGAGATGCATTTAAGCCAAGTATATATATACTTATTACACATGCTAATACATGTGCTCCTCTATGACTCATCTTTGTACCTCATTGAAGTTTTTTTTATTCCTTTTTGATGATTCCAGTCTTTGATAAAGATAATCTGGTTGCTGATATCGATATTTAAATGGTTGCTTATATTTTTACCTCATAAAAGTAAACAAACCTTTAAAGTATATAATTATAAAATGTATATATAAATTATACAGTTGTTTTTATAGTATGATAAGCTTAACAATATGTATTTTAATTTGTATATGTTGACACGGAAATATATAAACATAAACATAATTATAATCAAGACAGAAAAATAACTAACTACATTGTTAACATTTATTGTATAAACAGACTATCACTGTTTGTTTCATTTTTTAGACATTAGCTGGGCATTTGGTTTGAGGTGTACAAATAAACATACATGTGCATAATCTTTGGTATTCAAAAGTGAGAAATGATGATTTGGCTACTTTGGACCATATAACATTTGTGAATGTGGGGATGGAATGATGGATAAAGGGAACTACTCTGTGTGTGGTATTTTGGGTTGAACTCAGGACTTTGTGCATGTCAGTGACTGATCTACCACTGAGCTGCATTTCCAGTTAGAATATACTTTTGTTTTAGGGTCTCCTTTCAAACTCTTGTCAGTCTTCCTGTTTCAGCTTTCTAAGTCGGGACTACAAGTTTGAGCCACAACACATACATTACTCTTTAAAAGCGTTTGCTTGGGGGTATACTTTCTCTGTTTTTCTCCTATGTGAGCTAATACAGCATTGATTTCTGAAATTGTTGGGATATACATTGGGCATTGGATAATTACTGGGTTTTCTTATTGCCCTAGAATTAATGTGGATTAGAGCTGACAGGAAAGCCTCAAAGTTACGTGCTATGTGTGTTGTTGTTGTTGTAGTTGTTTTCCACTTGGAGCTCTTGTTTGGGAGTTCCTGCTGCTGTTTGGACCCTGTGGTCTTTGCTCGGTAGTCGCCCTGCAGGGCGTGCTTCTCTTAGTACACTGTATGCATATCCTGTTTGGTTTGGCCTTACTTTTGGTCTTTATTGAGGAGAGTCAAAATTTATCCATAAAGCCAACATTTTTTTGGATCAAAATTATTTTTAAAATTATTTTTTTATATGTATTGCATGTATGTGTACCACATGTGTGCCTGGTGTCTGTGGAGGCCAGAGGAGAATATCAAATCCCCTGGAACTGGAGTTACAGAGAGTTATATGTGAGTGCTGGGAATCAAATCTGGGACCTCTGGGAGAGCAGCCAGGGTTCTTAGCCACTGAGCCATCTCCCAGTTCCTGGATGAAAATATTTTAACATAGAGGAATATTGAACCCATCTCAGGTCAGTGGCAAGTAACAAACCTTAAATTCATAATTGTTTGGAGCTGATGTCACTAGTAGATTTTGGGAATATGGTAACAATTTGAAATCTGTGTGAATCAAAGATAATTTTATGGTGGTATATGTGATTTTAGAATTTTTTCTCTTAAGAAATTTTAGAATACAGTTTACATTCTTTTAATTTTTCATCATAAGACACATGTCTCAAATTAATATTTCTTGAAAGAATTATCTATAAATTGAACTTTTTAAAAAAAAGATTTTTTTTTAAAAAAATATGTATATAGTGTTCTGTCTGCCTGTTTGCCTGCATTCCAGAAGAGGGCACCAGATCTCATTATAGATGGTTGTGAGTCACCATGTGGTTGCTGGGAATTGAACTCAGGACCTCTGAGCCATCTCCCCAGCCCTTAAATTGAACGTTTTAAGTATTATCTTATTTCATAATTTGAAATCAGATATATCACTTACATAAACATAACAACTTTGAAAAATTTAGTCTTCATGATAATGTTTTAAAGTCTAATTAAAGATTTATAATTAGGGTCAGCAGGGTGGCTTAGTAGGAAAAGGTGCTTACTGCCAAGCTTTATAATATGAGTTTGATCCCTGGTATCTACATAGTAGAAGCAGAACTGAGCCCTGAAAATTGTTCTTTGACCTCCACATGTGAGTTCACATGTGTGCTTTCTATTTCTCCCTCATACACATTCTAAATAATAATAATAATAATATAGCTGGGCAGTGATGGCTCACGCCTTTAATCCTAGCACTCAGGAGGCAGAGGCAAGTGGATCTCTGTGAGTTTGAGGCCAGCCTGGTCTACAGAGCGAGTTCCAGGACAGCCAGAGCTGTTAAACAGAGAAACCCTGTCTAGAAAAACCAAATAAAATAAAATAATAAGTTATACTTGTTGACTCAAGGGATATGTATTCTTCTAGTTATTTTAAACACCCTGAATATAAGCTGTCAATTTGTTTATATATTTAACTATTTGTTTTAAGTATAAAATTATAGCCTCTTGCTGGGCGGTGATGGTGTACACCTTTAATCCCAGCGCTTGGGAGACAGAGCCAGGTGGATTTCTGTGAGTTCAAGGCCAGCCTGGGCTACAGAGCAAGATCCAGAACAGGCACCAAAACTACACAGAAGAAACCCTGTCTCCAAAAAACAAAAACAAAAACAAAACAAACAAACAAACAAACAAAAGCCCAACCCAAAAAAATTATAGCCTTTTAAATTAGATATTTAGTTAAATATTTTTTACTTTATGTATATGTGTGTGTGTGTGTGTGTGTCTGAGTATATGTTCTATGCACCTTGTGCGTGCAGTGCTCTACTAGGTCAGAAGACAGTGTCAGATTCCATGAAACTAGGATGATAGGCAGTTGTGAGCCACCTGCTGTGGGTGCTGGGAAATAGACCTGGGTCCTCTGCATTAAAGCTAAGTCATCCCTTCAGCCCCCAAATTATAATCCTGTTTTCATCTTTAATTATTATACATTCTATTTGTGTGATTTGCATACCAATTAATGTGTTTTAAATTATTTGTGTGTGTGTGCGAGTGTGCAAGTGTGTGTGTGTGTGTGTGTGTGTGTGTGTGTGTGTGCGTGCGCGCACGCGCGTGTGTACCCACACAGGGTAAAGGTGGATATTGATATCTTTTTTTATCACTATCCAACTTTTCTTTTGAGACAGGGTCTCACCCAGAACCTGAAGCTCACTGATTGGCTGGACTGGCTGACCAGTGAGATTCCAGGATCCCCCTGTCTGTCTCAACCCTAGAGTTACAGATGTACCTCCGCACACCTGGCCTTTTTTTGTTTGTGTCGGGGATCCAGACTCAGGATTTATGAATGAAGCACTTTATTGACTGAGCTGTCTTCTTAGTACCCCCCCATCTTCCTATTTTTGAAAAAAAAAAAAAAGTATCAACAAATCCAAATGATAGTCTTTATTCTGAAAACTGGTCCAGTTCTGATTGGCTGTATGGTGATGATGCTTGTAGTTCTTGAACAGGATATGTTCAGGATGGCCAGAAATGATACCAGAGCATGGGTCTTGGGTGCTAGGGGGAAGCCAAAGCAAGAATGGACTTCTAACTAAATATTAAAGCAAAAAACACCTTTGAGGCATTTCTGTTTAGGAAAGGAAATTAGGTAAAAGTTAAGCTTTTAAGGTAAAATCTGTATTAAGAAGTTGCCCAGTGTTGCTTTGTTGGGAGTCTCGTTTCTTTATGTTTTTGCATGTGTAGGCAGAAGCACCCATGTGTACATAGTTTGTGGTCAATAAATACTTAAGTGATGGTGGCCATTTTTTGGGGGGGG